TATATATATATATATATATATATATATATATATATATATATATATATATATATATATATATATTGCTATATCATTTTCAAAAGTGTTAAAGCTAGTTGGCACTAGAGTTGCAAATTTAAATTGAAAATTACCTCTCTCTCGAGGCCAAATCATTGTGCACTTTGTACATTCTACGCGGCTATCATGTTCTTCCTACTGTTTTGATCTGTACAGATTAGAATTTGTACACGAAAACTGATTAGCAAGATATATCCCCATTGGATAAGTCCAAACATAACAAACTATTCAAATCAAAATCAAATTACGAAAAAAAGACACCCTGAACTAGACTGAAGTAAGGAATTATCACCCTAATGGCCTGGCCTAGGCTCACAATCAAGGAAACTAGAGGAGCCAGACCCAAGCTTTATTAATCCAAAAGCTGCTTATTTTTGCACTGACAGTATGACTTTACAGTCTTCAAGTTTTGTTAAATGATCTTCTGCAGTTATGACGTCACCAAGATAACTTTAAGCCATCACAAATTCGCCTGTTAAGGGTTATGGGCGGTGTTCCTGTTTACGATTATAAATGCAAATTAATGCACGCATGCTCGCACAATAAGCCTCACATTTGGCGAATAATTGGCCTTGAAAAACGGCAAGTAATAGAATTGAAAAGAGCTTGCCAAATACGAATTTGCCATTTGTTAATGAATACAATAGGAAAGAATCTAATTTGCTCTGGGGGCAGCAGAGACCGCATGCAAATTGATTTGGTGCTAAAACACCTCATTTCTGTGTGCCTCATTCTCTGACATCACATGGAATTAAGGGCAGCAAATGAAAAGTTTGTTTCAATCATAACCAGCGATAAATCACAAAGTACCAGATTGCAACATCTGCTTTACCTTGCATTGTGTGCCTTGGAAATTTCTTGTTTGTGATACGTGCATTTGTCTTTCACTTTTATCCTTACTTTTATTACCATCAGTCATTGGCTGGCCCCCTTTCCCTCGGTTCAAATGTGGTGCATGGTAAATGATAGAAAAAGTCACCAAAGGTGAATTCGCCAAAAGCAAACACACCAAATGCGAGGCTTTACTTTGCCGAGTGGGACTACCGTCAGCAAAGTACCTGTATGGAATGTGAATTCCTCCACTTCCTTTATAAGGGGTATTTTTCCTTGATTTTGTTGTGGGGTCGATTGTGCAAAGTCATTATTAGAACCTACGTGTAACAGCCACAGGGATAATCAAATGGTATGTGCAGCTCTTTGGGGCCAATGCAATAACGATGAAGCAGTCAACTTAACCCTATCCATATTTAAGTAAACCAGCTGACTGACATGACATAACTTGGATCAGGCTGCTTGCTTTACCAGAATAAATAAACATGTGTGTTGCTAGCTGTGGCTTACTCTTGGGAAGCAGTTCAAACCCCTGCACTTGAGTGATATCTGTGAAGGCATGCTTTTTCTGTTATTTAGAGCTCTCTGTCCATGCAGAGAACTCAAATGTTTGTCTTATTCATACATGTCACTGCCTTGTCACCGATAAAATGACTTAAGATCTTAAGAATGCATAGAGTGCTTTTAATGGAAGTACAATCTCTGCACTGTGAAGTCCTGTGCCACACTCATGGTAAGATTTTAGACAAAATATTTATTGTACTTTCGTCACAGATGTAGCAGAAGGGATAACAACCAATCCCTAGGGGTGAAGGCAGTGAAGCCCCTTTATATATTGGGCCTGTCAACGCTCATGATATTAACACAGACCCTGTGATCTGCCTTAGCTCTTTGTTCTCGGAATATACGAGCTGGAAAATTGTTGAACAGGCAAGTGCATCTCCTCAACGGGGATTGAAAGGGGACAGGATACCCTAAATGTTGCTTAGAGGCCCAATACTAACATTATTTCTGAATAACATTGGTCTTTTTTTCCTTTTTTCACCCGACCAATTCCCTTGGCAAACACCATTC